AGCGATTGGTTCCTGCGGATGCTGCACATAATCCAAATGGCCTTAAAGAACCGCAAAGTGATCACTCAGACACGTAGGAGTCTCTGTCATCAGATACTCAGCCAAGAGTTCTTCGTACGCAAGCACAAACGAGGCATAGATAGCCTATTTTCCTCTATCAATCTGGAGGGCGAAATGATATGGCTAAAGTCCATAATACTTGTAAACAATTCTTACGTGTCCATCGTGAACTGCTAATTGGGGGATGCTGGCATTTTCAGATGGTGAACACTGAAGATGTATGAGAGAACATGGCTGAATTTTTCTCGAGGTCGAACGGAAGTTCATATGTAGACGACAAACAACCGCCACAAGGCAAGCGACGTTACGTTTCAGTCACAAACGGCACCATAGAAAGTGTAAGAGGAGTGGTACTAAAGGTCATTGCAGTACTGCTGAAGTACCTCAATGTCTTTTGTTGAGCTATCGTTTGGCACAAGGGACACAACAAGTCACGCGACTTAGGCTTCCAGAAAGACTGAGTACAAGCAAGTTTCAGTCACGAGGATGAGGTCCGCTGAATTTGGTGCTTGAGGTAGAGTCAATAATTGATTTGGTTCCGGAGGTCTGGTGCATTGCTGTGCATATGTGAAACTTTCTCTGATCTTAGTAGGGAGTCGAAAGATGTGTGTTCTGTGTGTGATGCTGCGTCCGCCGTTGAAAGCAAGCCGTTGAAAGTTTGGATGCTAATCGTTTTTGTGGTAGTGCAATGATGATATTATACGTAGGAGATAAACTGATAACATCACTTTCTACCTGTTCGTCTTTTGTCTACGTAGTAATAACGACAACAGTTTTCGCCGGCTAGTTGAGTTAGATTATCCTAACATTTGGCCAGAAGTAGTTAGATTTATTTGCCCATGACTTGTGTTCGTCTATTGGATGCCATCTTGAGACAAAGCTCATAGGATATCCTGCAGCAATGCGCATACCGACATTACAACTTTTTCTCAAAAACTCTGTTTAAAGCAGTAGTTTCATAATGCTCCAGCTTCATCCATGTCATTTGACAACCTGCATACCCTTGAGATCAATGCGCTTTGTCGTTTTTCATGAACAGTGTCTCGCGAATGTTTCATTATTGTTTCTGCATCTTGTCAGTTACCTTTTGTTCATTATGTCATGAAGCTTAGGCAGCACTATGTATAAGGACTATCCTGGCCACGGATAACTTCTAGTGGTCCTCCAATCCGTGCTTCGCCTATCCATGATTGCCCCACATAAGACGCGCATAGAGGCAGACAGAGCAAGACCGAGTCAAGTGAAGTTAATACAGTTAGGATAAATATCCGTTCAAGCGTTGCTTTGATTTTGGATGACTCGTGCTTTACACCAAGCTGGCGAATATAACCAAAACACCTGTCATGTCACAGATGCTGATCTACTGACGTATGTCGTGAACTTCCTTTCCTTTTGAGGAATTTTACCTTGACTGGGGGAATTTGTGTATGTTATTGACAATACTTAATGTGGTCTTTTATTGGATTATTGTGTAGCCTGGTTTAGGGTCTTCTGCCATGACGTACTTCGTTAAATCGGCGGAATATTTGTAGTTACAGCTGGATCTACTCTATTCGTGGGAGTACAGAAGGCGTGAATGTTTGGTGTCCAGTTTCTCTGAGGTTAAGGATGAGTCTGGAACATAGGCGGGTAATATCCCTACCTCTTCCCATCAGTTCAAGGATATTTTGGTCAGGGGTGCTTTTGACACACAGAAGGCATTTCCTAGCTAATTAAAACGTTTATAACGGAGGCACAGCATGGTTTGATGGAAACTACTGTGATACACGTTCCGTCGTGCATTTACTTATGATAGAAAATGAAGGCGTTTCCCATTTACTGGAGCGATGACACAGATTTTCTCTGTTCCGATAGCTAACCTACCAGCTTGATTAGTGGGTTAACCATACGTACTGCACAAAGACACAGAGGCTGATCGGCTGGTCACAGATTTATCTCGTTTGATGCATGATTACGCAGTCACTGCAAAGGCAGTAACTGCAAACGCAGTTGGAAAATTTGATTCCTGTTTTTATCTTTTTTTTACCTGAATCTAACCTGTAGAATAGTAATTGTCGGGCATCAATCCCTGCCATGTTTGATCGGTTATTACATTCCATTCCCTTTGCTTGCTTTTGTCTATATCTGCTACCCATCTAAACAGCTGAGCGATTTACTACATCTCAAATTCAGTATATTTTGGCAAGATGTGTTGCCGTGTGCTGCACGCTGAATAATCAGGGTCCGGTGTCCGCACTTCTGTATTATGTCGCGAGCAATCACATGGTGTTGGAGGCAAGTTATTCAGCTGTTCCGTTTATTTAACAGTCTCTTTGAGGTCAATTAAGCGACCAATCAAAAAGGCAAACAGCATATAATATAATTCTATTCTTGGCGGCTGAAAGCTGTGGCTGTTGGCTCGTCGTATATGTCCTGGATTTGGTTTGGTCTGAGGCCAGAGACATCGTTGTACAACTCAGGATTAGGAACTTGGGCACCTGTGATTCCGAAGGAAGGGCGCATTAACTGCGATATGGAAACAAAAAAGTGAACCACACTACTTAGTTTAAAACGATGGATGCCAATAAATTGCGCTTCTTAGGCTGGCTCAAATTAATTATGTCTACGTAATTTTTGTATGAATTGGGAGACTGAATAATAGCGAAGTAGAACAGATACAAGAAGACGACATAGTGGAGAAATATGACAGAAGAGGGTTATTAATCAAATATGCTACCTTAGCTGAATTATGCAACACGATGTCAGCCTACTAGCAGTTTGCTGTCTACTGACTCGGTAGACGCAATGCAACCCAAAGTTGCCCCTTATGGTCCGAATGTGCATTAACATTCTGTGAAAAACCAATCTATCTTTCTTACTCTACTTTACTCTACACACTGCTCTTCGATCCTGTCAAAAATTACTAATGTTTACCTGATACTACTTTATTGTTGAGAACGCCAAAGTTAAGGCGTCATACAGCCAAATATTTGTAAAAGAAAAAAAGGTTTGTGAGCTTTAAAAATGATTAGTCACCCTGGCTACACTAAGTTAGGACCTACTTAGGCCTTTAAACTAATGGGATAAAGCAAATAGTTAAAAGGGAGTGGAAATTCATAAAACTTGTCCGAATTATTTTTCGATGTCAAGAACATGATTGAGAACACTGTCAGTTTTGATAGCAGGAGGTTTATGAAAAGCGTCCACTTCATAGAGACAAACAAAAGTGGTTACGAATTAAGTTTTGAATAAACGTATATTAGCATTACTTCATTATTTTTGAGAAGATTCGTCGTCACTACTTTTGGGTAAACAGCCAACACCGGCCAAAACCAATCACGAATGGTCAGTTTGTCTGATTGAGGAATGTCAGTAGAGCGAATACTCCTCCTCGCGCCCCATCATAGGTTTGCATCCGTCAGGAGCCAGCAGAAGATCGCCCTAGAGAACTAAACGCCTTCTAGTGCTCGCTTGTATTTGTGCTGTCTTTCTAACGAGGTATAACTGAAGAATCTTCACACAAATTATAATCGTCGTCTAAAACGTAGCACTGCTCATACATATGTTACGTAAGGTTCAGAACGGAAATCTTGCAATTTCCGAAGTTCTGAACGAAACGTTACATTTTCATAGTGGTTATTTCCACTGAGCTAATTCGACATTCAGAATCTCAGCTTGCATATATGCAAAATAATCCATAATTCTAGCTAGGAGTCAAGCATCGCCAACGTTATTCAGATGCACCCGTACCTAAGGAGTTATTTGTATTGAAAAACTGATCGTCTGCTGCTCTAACTGGAAGTCAAAAAATACAAACAAGAAAGTAAAGAGCCAGTGTCTGTTTTCCGTAACACCAGTTCATGATTTTATGTCGAGGGGCTTTTTTGATCAGCGATCAGTAAAAAAATATTGACGTCGTAAATGTTTAGTATAGACGTAGACCATCTTATGCAGTGCTAGTAGAATACTGTAGAAATCTGTTGCTTTGTGTATGCGCTATATGTTAGGACTTAACAGCCAATATTTGTATGGCTGGCAATATTTATGCTACCAGACCCCATCTCGACTTGGCAGCTTTGATTTTCGCTTCAAATTCATACCTTCGGAAGCGTGAACAATTCCAAGGCAGAAACCAACCACAAGGAATTACACTAGTAGCAAATATGCGGCACATCACAGATTTAACAAATGGGAGTGAGCATCAAGTCAGCCAATGATGTTGATGAACGAAAGAAACGAAATCGGAATGCAAAGCTCACTGTCTTAAACGTCTTGTGCATTCAGAACTAGGCAGATTTGTCAAAGTACGGTAGCTAATAACTTTGAGATGTCTCGCTTGTGTGAGTAACCATGCGGAATGAATATAGCCATAATGGATTTATTCTAGTTTGTTACGAGCAATGATATGTAAATGAAAAATATTTGTCCTAATATAAAACAAAAAGCTTTACGAATTCGGACAATGTTCTATCACGTTATGAGTTGTCGATAGTATATTTGTGTGAGGTAGGAAATAAGTGTTGGTAAGCTACGTGCTGAGTTAACTGACTGCGAAACAAAAGGTACACTTCGAAACTTAACCATTGCTTGCTTATCCGAAAAGTTACGTTAAAACTAGCATTGGTACGCAATGCAAGCTCGCACGGAATGGCGGTACTTTTACTTCTAACCATCAGCGATGTTCAATCGTGGTCACGCATTAGTTATGAAACGTCGGATTTACTTTTACGTTGGACAAATGCTTATTTGTTTTCATAGATTTGCATTCGTTATTTAGCTGAAATGCATTCATCCTTACTGAGACACAATCACTTAACACACGAAAGAATGCAACATTTGCAACGAAATTTGGCACTCGATACTTACTGTTTTTCTGAACTATTTAAAGTTATATAAGATTATCTATATTTATTTATCTTTCCCGACTTCATTCCAAAGTACTCCAGCTTTCCGAACTCCATATGGTTACCACCGGCTCCTATCGCACAAACGTGACCAAACTTAAGTGCAGGTGAGCCCCTTTTTAACAGGCAGTTTGTGTGACATTTGTTGAATATAACATCGTTTTTGAAAAAATCTGGAACCAGATCATGTAAAACCTTTCCACTTGTAGCCATAGCTTGGAAATATGTGAGCCGATACAGAAGCCTTTTCACAATGCAACCGCCACTGCTTTAATAATGACTACAGTTAAGTTACTTTAGGGATCTAAGTCGTAATGTTTCGATACAGTTGGTTAAAACACACCACAAAATATACGAAATTTTCGCAAACATCATAAGTAATATTTGCCAGATAAGAAATTAAAAGCGTAATGTATAGCACAGGGACATTATTCAATGAAATTTAGTGATACAAAAGCTAAGGAAAGAAGCACAGGTTTTACATTTGTTCGATGAAATGTTTCCTATACTTGACTGCACAAAAGGAGGCATCACTTTTTCGTTTATATGAAGCGGAGAATATCGAGGCAAAAGTACAGATGAACCAAGTTTTCACGCATGCACAGCTCATAGCATTTTGTCCTTTGGGTAGTTGAAAATGACCTACTCGGTCTATGCCGCTTGACTGTGTCCTCTTTACCTCCATGAATGCAAATGTCGTCTGTGCTGCTCGTATGGTGTCCACATCCGTTCCAGGTAATCGACTGCATTAGTGACCTTTGCTCGTAGATATGCGTGGCTTGCGTCCTGTTCAGCATCACTATTGATCGAATTGCTCAAAGGTTGCCAAGCTTCAAAAATCTCCGTTGCATTCTCTGTATTTTCACGTTCTGGAATCTGTACATTTTTTAAATCAGATTGATAAACTGATTCTTCCACGTGACTAAAATTCAGTGAATAAGGATGGTGCCTTTGACTTGTGGTAGTTGTAAAAGTTTTTCATTCCTTTTGTCCAATTCAGTTTACCTTGCATTGGCAATGGATTTTGCTTCTGTATTTACAAGTGGGTATGCGACTTTAGCAACTGTAAGTGTTCAGCCCCAACTAAACTCAAGAGCCAGTACTGCCGTTCGAAAGATTTGCGCAATCTACTAGCCAGTCTAAACAGCACAATGCTTCTCGGACATGGTAAACTCTACCTACGGATTGTCATGTCATTCTCGACCATCATCTTGCCCTCCATGAATGAACTGTTCAGCAGATCATTATCCGATGGTACTTGGCAGGATGATTAATAATGCTCGATAGTGAAGCAGATTTCGAAGTGCGGTAACTCAAGAAAGGTGGTCAATTACCGACCGATTTGTTTGACCTCCGTTTTGGCCAAAGTACTCGATAAGACCGTGAAAAGGGGTCTACTGCGTTCGCTGTTGTTGGACAAGTTCCTGACCTTCGTGCGGCTTCTTGAAGGGCTTCTAAATGTTTACCAACTTAATGCTGACGTGGAACGAATGGTTTCAAGCTTTGAATCAGAGGAAGTCGGTGGATGTAATCTACATCCATTTCGGTGAACTGCTCGATAAAATGAATCGTGTTGTCATTAGGAACAAGCTAACAATTGACCGTGTGGTTGGTTTACCACAGAGATACATCAGAGAATTTCTTGTTAGAGGGAGATAGAAGATACAGGTGGATGGCCGTCTAACGGACTAGTGCCTCTTCGCTAGCGGAATACCCAAACGTGCAATAGTGGTGCCCATTTTATTCTTGATCCAATTCGGCGAAGTGCCTTAGCTTCTGCGGTTTTTATGTCTAGCTCGCAGATGTCTTGAAGATTTGGAAAAACGTTGCTGCTGCCGTCGACTGCGACGTACTACAACTTGAGCACGACCGGCTGTTCAAGTAGTCTGTAGATGTTGATCTGCCGATCAATCCAGCAAAATTATTTTATATTAGCCTGGGAAATCGTGTTGTTAGGCGTACGTAAACACCGGTCGCTTAATTGCTACATAATACATCTTCCGTATGGGATGTCGGCAAACTGACAACCTGAGATTTGAAGTCCACAAGATCTGCTTCATTAGACCTAGAGAATCTGAGTCTCTAGCTGGATGTCTAACACCAAATTAAAATTTAATACAGAGCAGTCGAGACACGTATGACAAATCTAATCCAGAATTAAGCACATCACATACACGCTGACTAGGTCAATGGAACGGAGGTCCTCGTCTAATGGGTAGCTGGGACACGAGGTGACATTCAGGCATCGTTATATATTTAACATTGTTTGGGAAGCAACAGTGGCACCAGATTTGGCAGCCTCGCTTGCTGTCAAACTAGGTGCAGTAAGGACCATCGATACAAAAAGGGGACTTATTCTACCATCTTTTGTCAGATTAAAGAAAGCAACCTCAAACTCATCCCGAAATGATGAGCTTCAGAATACTCTTAGCATTTTATGTTTCAATGTGTATGATTCCAAGGCGAACTCCATGAATGGCTAGGTACTAGACGACCAAAAACTGTACGACCAATGCTGCTAATAAATGCGAGTCTACGCAAAGCCGTCTAATATGACACGCCTCGTCTGTAAACGAAGCTCGACAGACTATGGTGAACCACTCTACTGCAAGTAATGCTCCCGTCAAGAAATGATGCAGAAACCTTTCTCTTATCAGCCACTTGCCTCGGAACAATGCAATGCACTAGATGCTTCCAGATGCTTCATGGGGAGAATGATAGGAAAGAAAAGTAAACTCAGACGACTAAGACAACCAAAAGGACGTAAAAGCCCTCCTTGTTTACGGTGTTTCCGCGCTCAGAGACTCTAAACGAGCTGAAGACAGAACGGCATGACTGGAATGAATAACGCTTAAGCCATGAAGTACTCCGAATCGAATATGTAATCACCAATTCGACCTCAAGGTTACCATCATTGCCAGACTGCAGAAGAAACGGTCCACGGGTGATAAAAGTCGCAATGCAATCAAAACTCATGGCGGAAATGGTGATGGAATGTTTGCTACTATTACGGAAGGAGCTGATATCCGACGAGATAACGCCGCAAATGCAGTCATTGTATGTGCTTTGTTGAGCATGTCGCTTAGACCTGGGTTACTGACAAAACCCTCAGGCAGTTGAGGGATGTCTGGGTTTGCAGCAACCTACCAAAGCCGTGAACTCTAGTTACCAACTTATACAAACTACTAACTGGTCATTCCAAGTTAGGAAGCTTTCCAACGTCGCCCGGAAGGGATTTGTCACACTGTGTAGCTGGCCGGTCTAATATGCTTCTGAAATGAATGTCCGAAACCGATGAAGTCCTTCCTTTAGATCCCGATACGAAAAGACGTAGCCCATATGTATCCGGTCTGATGCGCTTATAAGGTCTGCTTGGATGCGTAGGCCTGATATGCCTAGACAAATCAGCGAAATCCTTGTGTCTAACTGGTAGGCGAAGACAAGCTCAAACAGTAACACGACCTTGCAAAGAAACTAGCCACTAATCCTAAAATGCGCTACATGCACTTACACGATATACCTGGAGGGGTGCGCGGAATCCCATTCTTCGTGCAGTATGTAGTCTGGCGCTTACAACACAAGATGCGACGAACGCACTTCGGTAACATTTGACCAATAGTTTCCAAGGTGGATCATCACCACACATGTACATGGCAAAACTCACTCCGCACCCAGAATTAAACCACGTATGAATCTTCGCTGCAAATATGATAAATAGGTTACTGTCTATGTTCATGTACAACAATTATGGTGTGGAAAATAACAGGTCAACAATTTTAAAAACTGTCTGTATGAACCTCGTCGAACCCTTGGTCCGGTACTTCTTACGAAGCTTTAGGGATATGAAGGTTGCGACCATGTAGTAGCATGGAATATTTATTACTGTTTTCAAAAGTAAGAATCGTGCGCAGCCATCCAATTACAGTTTAATCCTCCTCCTCACAGTGTTTTCCAAATTTATGGAAGGTATATTCGCAAGAGATCTGATAATCTAACTTGAAAGTGAAAACATACTGCCACGAAAGCATGAATTCCGATGAAAATTGACCTGAAACGCAAACTTTTTATTTGCCCGTGAAAGCTGGGGGAATTCAGCGCAAGCAGGACAGGCAGTTGAATTCGTTTACCTAAATTTCGCTAAAGAATTTGATCGCCTGGACCACTGCATTCTTTTTCACGAACTCCGAAGCTATGGAATCGTTGATGCTGTGCCAGGTTTGATAAACAAATTCATCGTTCAAGGTCAACTGAATGTGAGAATCCGCAGATTCCTCGAGGACCAATCGAAGTCCAGTGTGATGTGCCCAAAGAATCTTTATTAGGACCCGGATTATTGCTCATCTTCATCAACGATCTTGCTAGGTTGCTCCAGTCAAACTTCTTACCTTTTGCAGAATACGCCCGTACCTGGAATGACGTCAAGCCAGTGGACTAACAGGCGAAACTGCAAAGAAATATGGAAAAAGGCAACATTTGTTCCTCCACAAACCGACGCCAGTTTACAGTGATAAAATACAAATTTTGTGCGCACGTTATTAGGGTACCAAAAAGTATCGACTAGCAGAGAGGCTGATGTAACATGTTACGCAGGAAAGCGACCCTGAGATAGTAGTGCAGACCAAACAGTGCTGTTCGAAAAAGGACGAATAAGTGTTGAGAAGAGTCAGTAGGCAGTATGGCCTTCTGTATCGTGTTCGGGAATTTGAAGCCATCAAGCTTTCCAGAAATGCTCTAAACCTACGTGAGGATCCGCGTGAATCACGCGACCCAGACCTGGAGATATTAACAAAAAAACGCAATGCTACTCTGCTCGACGCCCACAATTTTGGGGCGATGAAAATCGAGAAACGACTGTTTCCCTCCAACTGCCAACAAAGACTGCAAGCCCTAGGGTTGTGCAACCGCAAATACCGGTGATTGCGAGCAGGTCTTATCATGCTGCATCAGCTAATCTCTAACCCCAATGACGCCTGTGGCAATCTGTTACAAGACAGCCACAACACCAGCCTTAGGAGCTATAACCTCAAACTGATCGCAGACGACAGTCGACGAAAGGTGCCGATAAACGTTTTCCTTCGGGTATACAGAAGCTGGCACGCAGTTCTCAAATTAACGCTATTTTAAATAACATTGGGCTTTAAATATCCCATGTACATTACGCAAGAATGCATGTATCCACTGAAATACGGAAGAACGCAATGTGTTCACCAGCCCTCTTCTGTACGTCGCGTTGACAGGACCGGCGTAGGTTCATGTGAATAACACGATTAGTCAACTCAACTCAAAAATTCCCATTTTCCTGTTACCTCAAACAACCAATGTTTATCCCCGTCCGGGTTATCATATGGAGCTCGGCAACCAATGCTTTTCGCTCGCTAAAACTCATCCTTCGCTTTTCATTGATTTTCCCGAGGCGTCCTGCTCATGCTTCATCCACTAAAGCTTTATAACTTGTGGTGGAAATTGCTCATGTCCATCCTTCTCAATTACAATCTACTACAGTTTTAATCTGCTGCAGTTAACAAACTTTGGACGCAGCTATTTTTAGGGGTCGTCTGCTGTTTACTCTGTTAGTTTAATCTTTGTTAGTAATGCGTTTTTTGATATTAAAATTTCCAAAATTATCCTTTGCTTTTATGTGGACAATTACATGCAGAAATAACGATTACCTCTTTGAATTTTAGCGCTGCACTTGATATCATCGAATGTGTAGATTTTAAAAGCTTGCACAGGAAGTATTGGCATACGTATGATATTTCAGCTGAGTTGAATCCTTGTTTTAGACAGTGGTATTGAAATGCACTGTAGGTATTAATTGTGGATTTGATACCGAGACCAAAAGTAGGAAGTTGCGTAGGCGTTCCCTTTCAGGAGCAGGTAGCTTTGTCTATCAATGCAAATAAAATTTGTCATGCAGAGTTCCATTAGTTTCTACATATTTTTCCGTTTACTGTAAAGAATACGCACGTATGTCTCCTGTCTAGTGAACTCTTATGACTTCTTTGGCTTTAAGTTACCTATCCCGAGAATGAAACGTTTATCAGTTTTGGGTGAACAGTATTTGGACCAGTCTTCTTTGGTTAAAATGGTTTGGTTGCATTACGTGCTGTGAACTCATTGGCGTGTATGATGTAAGTTAATAACTTGTGAGCTCAAAACAATTACACGTCAGTATATTCATTAAACCGATCATTGATAGCGTTCTATCAAAGGCGTGGGAACAAATAGATATTTGTAGTTTAACTCTCTTTGGGATCAACCTGCAGCCTAAAACTGACATTTAAAAACAAGTCCGTTTAAATTAATAACTCGGTTATAGTTCTCAGAGAGCAACACAGACAGGTGTTCCGGATAATGTTGCACAATCCCATTTATTTTTACTTTATATGCTAGACTAGGCCCTCACAGCAGGGCAGGGAAATTATTCCATAAAGGTTGGTAGGATTCACAACGAAGTAATGACAGTCAGTTTACGTTTGAAAAATTCAACTGTGTCTATTGCGAGTGTAAGCATCTGTAAACATGTAAAATACCTGATCGTTTTCCTCTCACAGAGAAAATTTACCGGTTTCGCCAGGAGTGACTGGTTGGAAGCAGACGTTTAGCTTGCTAGCAGGGCTGACTGGTCAAAAAAGAAGACGCGGATTGGCATTGGAGGGTCAGATAAAGCATCAAAAAGAAGCACTTGCCTCAACTACTGTCTTTCAAACATCAGAAAATGATGAAGGATATGGACAGCTAATGTATTCCACCTTCAAGGACAGATGGAGGTCAGTTCAATTGGAATTATCAAAATAGTCATCGTCAAATGTTTTACGTGTTGGATAATATGGAATCTGAATCATAGCGCCTTCACACCTGTCAGTGTTAATAAGCTTGTAGTTACCTGGCATCACTTGCATCTTGGTAACTTTCGCTCGCTAAATACGGTGTGATATTCGCAATGTCGCTTTGAACATAATTGGCAGTCCCACTTCGATAAATATGGGAAAAGTCTTCGAAATAATCTGGAATAAAATATAAACTACTTTATCAGCCTATATAATCCCTTCTCAGCACGAAGTAAAGGACTTCTTTAGAAATTGTTTGCACTCAGTATCTGACATTTACGTTGCGTAAGTTTGTTTCAAACCCTTTATGCGCATACGCGATTCCAGCGCTTCAACCCACTTGGTGTGCATCCATCGTAAAGAAGTAAGACTGCGTAAAAGCAGTGGCATGTGGCTAGACAAAATAATGTGAGAATTGTCAATGCCAAGAAATACGTTCCCCGATAACACATCACGATTTCGCGAAGGTGTATATTTCGAATATGTTTCAGCACTAATGCTCTGATCTTTGCACCATCACAGTGAATTTGGTCATTTTATGAAGAGAACAGTCATATTAAAATGCGTTTTGGGGAACATATGCGCTAAACAGTATGGTCCACGTAAAACAATTTAGCAATGTTATTACGGAAGATGCAAGCAATCATTTCTGAATGCATTAGCAACGTGCAGTTAGCTGAAGGAAGGAGCCTATCAGCATTGTAGAATAAGGTGTGCTAGATGAACTAATCTACTAGGGTTTGATGCCTTGTCTTTACAATATACTAAAATATATTATACTTACAATATCTATGTATACACATAATACATGTTGCGCACCCTATTAGTGCTAAAATGTGGTGTTGAGTAAGTAAAGAAGTACGAGCATGCTTATGACAGGTGTTCTTGGTTTATCTATGAAATATACACGCGTAGATAGAGAAAATGCCAGGTAGAATAACGCCAAGTGACTAGCCGCAATATGTATATCGATCCTGCAAATTTGCCTACCGGAGTGCTGAGCAATACAACCTGCGGCTAAGTTCGTACAGCCATTTTCATCTGAGCGTCGTTTACTTCTCGAAAGTCTATGTTTTGCGAAGATGCGTAGGCTTAACGGTCGCCAAGCGTGTGCACCAGAACGTGCCACTACGGTATGCATAGACACTTACCACGTCTAGATTTAGTCAGCCAGTCATTACAAGTCCGGAAAATTCATTTACAGCCGTTGCAAGCCTATCGGGAAATGGCAACAGTGCGTAGTTCTTCACACCTCTGTGGAGCTTATGCTTGAAACAAGAATGTTATCCGTATTTGGTTAAAACCAATGCAATAATTTTATTGATAGCTTTGTTTAAGTAAGCTTATTGCTTGGTTAGGGATCACCCTCCTCCCTTGAACAGCTGTTACGTGCAAGTCAGTGTATAGTGAGCGGCGTGTTATCACATCAAGTAACAGTCAGCTCGGCCTTACCTGTTCCCCGTAGACCAGTGGTCACAAGCTTAGGCTGGCAACAGTCGAGTAGTGGTTTCAAGCGCCTCACGGGTCGGCTGGAATGCGCAATGCTGATAATGAACAATTAAAGATGAATTTATGCGGGTTAAGAAGTGTTGCTTTACAAGTCCCATTGCATAGTTAGTGTGAGTAGCAACATAACAATAATGATGATAAGGATGGTAAAATAGTTAATACTTTAAATATGAAAATAAGGACTTACCGTTTGCTCCGTTGTAGTCCTGCGATCTTCTTAGATTCACTGCACCCACAGTTAAGAACAATTAAATACATGCTAAACCCCAGGTGTAGAATGGAGACGTAGTTTAAGTAACAAAGTGTATGTGGATGAGTGCATCGTCAAACCGTCTTTTAAATAATGTTAGTGTCGGTGCAGCAACGACCGGAGGTGTGAAACGAGAGTAAAGTGCTTTTCCAAGTGTGTGATGACCGCTTGAGTGGGTATAGATGTGATAAATTTCTAATTACACCATGCATGTTACCAACTGCTCCTTTACAGTGTACAACTGTACTTGAGTATTACTTAGGGCTTCAACTCCTCCATTCCATGGGAGTAGTCACCGGCAATCCGTTTATATTTACCTATGCTATAAATTTCCATAATCAGCACGTTATCTAATGAATGTTGGGGTTCATACCAATGGCACATGTATGCCATAGTCTGAAATCATGTTTTCGATTGCTTGGCCCTTGAAAATGGATATTTCATCAATCCCACATGTATTCAACAATCTTCTATGATGTAGTTCTATCAAGAGACCGCGGGCACAACAAGTACTTGTCATTTCCTACCTGGTACGCGTGAAAATATGGCTCGGTGTTAGGTACGTTTTTGAAGTGACACTTTAGACCTTTTTCTTTACGGCTATTACACGTTATGTTCCATACATGCACACGTCCCGTACCCCTGTTACTTTAACTCAGCGTGAGTTGTCCAGCACTGGTGTATAATGGGTATATCTGTTTAAATTTAACCGTGACCGTCGTTCCCTCTTATACATGCAAATGGGCAAGAGAAAGGAGATGAATGAACCACTATTCACATTAGGATAATATCGCTTAAGAAGTCAGTTGCAATTCATAAATAACCATCTACATAAATGCACATCATTTGCATGCTAAGTAATAAAATTTGGCCCAGTCTAATTTAATATCTAGAAATAAGTATTTGCACATATTTAGCAGCACTTGTACATTATTTTTGAATGACTAGCGTTTGACGAATTCGAAGTCATGCGAAGAATTGGATTTACTGAATGGAATTAATAACATGTTAAATCAGCAGATGGTTATTTGGTCAATTCTGTCTACCAGCATAGACCCCCCATAACAAATTGTTTTGGTGCCTTCTGATACAAGCGTTCTGATGAAGATACTAGTTAACACATAGTTAATGTAGCTTCACCTAGTAGGTTCGAAGGAAATAGCTGACCGTTTTGCGCTTTTTCTCAAGCAGGGTGATGGAATATAATTTAGATTGATAAAGCTTGGAGAGTCCTAGCCACTGAGTGGAGGGTGAAAAATACTGATATCCAATAGAATGGAACGTAAGACCAGGGAGCTGCAATACACCTTAGAAAATGAACTCGTGAGGACTATCTTCAGCTAGAGTGTTCTACTTACCCAGCCCAAAGCACTTAAAGCGCTTTACTACTTTTTGTTTAGTGTACAATTCACGCTGCTTACTTGCTCACAAATCACGTTAGAGTATAAGCGTCACTGTGGAAAACTGGCCTTCAATTTTCCACAGGGGCATACGCTTTACATGAGAAACTTATAACTGTTTTCGCTAACACCTTCATTACGTATTGGCAACCAAGCACCAGACGTCAGACGCGAACATATCATATAGTGAATAAATTGGGCTGAACAAGTGTACACCTAGGTCGCAACACGAGTCGAACGGTTTATTGGTTACCGATCAACTACCGCAACAACTTGTTTCGGATAGATATAATGTCTTGCTCCATCGCAATACTGCATTCCAGGACCGGTTTCCTGCCCAATAGCGCTCGTCAAGTAGATACAACTAGGATGAAACCTGAGCTGGGGGCCTTTGTGATGTCATTAGCAATCTGTAAATCTTACCTACTTGACCATCCGGTTAGAGCACATTTAGTTTACCAAACGCTAACTTGCAGCTATTTTCTAGTTGGCTGGTGCTTGGTTTAGAGATAAGGAGGAGTGTTAGTGAATGGTACTCGTAGGGTAGCCCGTTCGATGCCGACTGCACTACTGACATACCGTAATACCAAAGAAGCTTTTTAGAGGCGAATGCACAAGTAAACCGGATTGTGTGGGTTTCTTTTGGTATCGCGGCCGAAGTTGGTTGACTTACCCAACTCATGTGTCAGCGGGAACAGTCGTCACCGTTTCTTTAATACTGTGTTGGTGACCAGGTCGCTAATGGTTAACGTATACAGGCATTTCAACAGCATTCTTCCTGCTCTTAGAGAAAACTGCAGTTTGCACTGATATTCCTAAGTTCTGGACGAGCAGATTTTAACTAGTGCCCATCCCTTATTCTGATATCACTTCAGCGGAATTTTGGCATCAATGAGTCCGTGGATAGGGTGAAGTAACGTACGAGAACAAAGGCGTTTGAATACATGTTCCTCAATTTTCTGCAATAAGATATCCGAGGGTCCCTCTTAGATGTGTCGACGAATAGTTCCGCTTGACATTTGGACAAGGGCCAGTAAGACAGGAATTAAAACGGCGAATGCTTTGATGGTGACATCAAATAAACAAACTAAACGTCGAGTTGTTATCGTCCACCATGACCACGGGACGCAACCTAGATTGAAGGTTGTCGATAGGGTAACCTATATGCCGGTTGTTGCAACAAGGCCAATGACTACGTCCTGGTGTTTCCATTGAACAAAATGTCAGTTACGGCAAGATAGTTAAGACGATTGGTCAGACCAGAGTAGTAGATATGCTCATGATACCCCGGTGTATTTGCTGCTTGATCATAATACTGGCAGACGGCGTAAGGGTATCCTCCTTGTTTGATAACGTCGATGAGAACGTTTGATCAGATTCCTGAAAGCACCTTTGATATTGGTCCACTGAACAGAGCTACCGGTGACGAATATCAGTGTAGCTGTTTTAGTGTGCGTGTAACTAGAACAACCAGCACTGGTTGTCAAAGCAAACAAGAACGATATGCTGATCCGAGGATGTAAGAGGATATGTAACCTCAGAGTTAGCTTTCACGCTACGTCTGCTGCTTGTAATTTATAGACTTTGTGAACTCTGTAATAAATGCATGGCCCCGATTAGTTCTACAACAGAAAACGCCCGTAATAAATGTGCTGGTTAATGACGAGCATTGCCATCGATGTTATAGCCCGTGCTCAAGCATGGAGACGATGTGAGTTGTTAAATTGTGTTATCGGTCCTACAGTAAGCTGTGCTGCATCGCAATTGCAGAAAAGGTCCATATCGACCACACCAACATATTCCAGCAAGTCAAGTGCAAATAGTCTGAGCGATGCTTACTTAATAGATACGATCCAGTAGGACGGTGGACACCGGCATTAAACAGAGAATGCATCTTCCTTGCTAGCTACGTGTAAACACAACGCAAGCACTGGCTTTGAGCTGGTTGATCGGTTGAAATCTTCATGCACTTAAGTATGGCAAGAAGTCCTAGGACATGCTCGTGCGGAGGTAAGAAGTGTTCAGCTGTATATGGACAATATGAATTCTGGAACTGTTTACTAGAGCAAAAGTTGCGTATTTAAAGGTTTCATTTGGCATTCATGCCACAAAATGAGCCACCTTTCTGGTTGCTGGAAGGTAATTGAACAAACATATTCTTCACCTTATAATACCTATAATTATCAATGCACCCGTAGCATCTATCTTGCTTGGACTGGTTATTTTTTAATTGTAAAGCATTCGAAACTCGGCAGTCAGTTAATGGTTTTGCAAATGAGTATTACAGGATGCTTTTGGTTTACTACTTTAGTAACGACTTGTAAAGAACCCAGGAGGTTGCTGTGAAACACGACAGCTGACCTCAAAGAATATCAAGCATCGCATGGGGTGAGATGCGAAAAATTCAACCAAACTCTAACATGATGAAATCCAGACACGCTAGTAGTGGTAAGGTGGTTAGAAATTAAAACCTCAAATTTACTTCTAATAGGACGATACCAAAGTGGTCAACATACAAATGTCAGGATGCATGAGGTTTGCTTGGTGAACATTCTATTCGATCAGGACAAAGAGTAGGTCAACTTTAGAGGTCAATGGACTTAATGTCAGCCCATATTAATATGTATATATATATAAATATATATATAATTAGGAAACTAAGTAACCAGCAAAAATTAGGAGCCATTGAGCATAACTAAATGCACCGCGTTAATTTTCATTTGCATTACTAAACAGTATATCCCGAAACATTGAGTAAGCATAGCGAAGAAATTTATTTTTCATATCGTGGTAACGTACTTGATTTTAAACGTGTACTTTCAACAAAACCTTACGTATAAGCAAGTACTATGTTTCCACCCGGCACATTTTTATTTCAGTACACTCAGTGTAAAGGTCCCATTTTTGTTAATGCACCCACCCGAGGAGACGAAGGATAACTCTAATTCCGGCCTAAAGTGAGTTGCTAAATGCGTTTACATAAATTGAGACTATTTGTTGCTTTTTCAAATCAACGGATATCGCGAACTGAAAGTTTAAATTTATCTATTGTTTCCGGCATCTAACTGGCTGCTACTCGGACTTTTCTAAAAACGTTTTACCATCAACTAGCCTTGAGTTCGGCGTTTAAATTGCACAAAAGGATTCACAATTGTCAAGGTATAAAAAGATAAACAAAAGACGCGGGACATAATATGACCTGTGAGTGGTTTCAACTTTAGTTTTTATATGAACAACAACAACAATCAAGATAGGAAGACATATTTTTGCTGTTGCGAAGGTGGTCTCATCATGGTATGATTGAGAAATAAGTGTAGTGCATATTCTCTTCTCAAATTCCTCCATCTTATGTGATGTTTCCATTCGGCTGATGCTAACGACATATGAGCTTCAATTTGTCAGGCTTGAATATTCTTGTATTTTATAACTTGATTCACCCTTACCAATGTGTCAATGTATGGGAAACGAAAATATGTAAAAGGTTGCTTAACACATTAAACAATAGTAGAATGCGGATGAAACGCCAAGACCCTAAAGCTCACCTAGGGTGATTTGTGGGATTTCTATAATTTAAAGTCTGTTTTGATAGAGAGAATCGCGCACACATAGACTCACTATAATATCCACGTTAACACAATAGATTCGTTTACCCCGATTTCGTGGGGGGGCAGTAAACACAATTTTTGTCTACGTCTCGTCGTCGCGGTGAAACGAATTTAAATCAAATAATGCAAGCTGTGTACTGCATTGTCAAGTCATTACTTAAGTGGGTAGCGTGGGCTTTGAATTGACAAAAGTCCTAAGAGCTCTCAGCGACATAAAAATTCTAAGAGAAAATAACCGGTTGCATCCCAACCGACATTATTGCTTGGCTGGTTTCATCTAGTGATTACTAGGTATGTTTTTCGGCTAAGATACAGAAGGCTGCGAGCTTGACCGGAAAACTGCAAGATCAGAAATTCCAGAATGAGGTCTTCTCATAGACGACGATAACTTCCGCTGAACCCTCCGAAGGCGTTAATTCGCAGATTGTGTGTGTGTGTTTGATTTCGGAAATGTAAATTCCCCTTCATATATTTCTTTGAAAAGCTCCCCTTTTGCATGCAATGTATGTGCTGATTAACGCCATGGAATGCATGCCGACGGTAAATAGTTTTTAGTTGCTCATCGTCCCATCGGCAGCAGGTAGTAAAGACACATATATATTAAAGCAACTCTGTGCTAAATGAAACTTACAGCCATATTTCTTATGCTACCAGATGGACTAGCATATTCGTAAATGTCAAATTCCTAAATGTCTCCAGTAAAACCAACATCGACCGCGCAAGTCTAATTTAAACAGTATTATAGGGTCCTCGTGCATCCGACGATCTTATGCTGTTATTATCTGGGATTAACAGCGGAGTACTAAAAAAGAGGATGATCCGATAGGTTACTTTGAATTGGAATCATTTGCCCAATTTGTCGAGTTACCTGTGTTCAATATGCGCATATTTGATTACTATAGAAGCAACATTTTTCAAACAAAACCTAGTTGTTCCAACGGACGTTGCACTACGGTCACATTTTGCGACACTAATAGTGTAAGAATAGTTGGAAAAAAGGAAGCATGTTACAGGAGTCTACGAACAATATCCAGTTAACATGCTAACATTGTCAACCTCAGGCGAAAACACTTAACCAGTTCGGAAACATTAGGTGCTTAGAGTACAAATGGTTGCCTTTCTAATTAGTAGTAAATTTGTAGGTACACCTGTACTGCAAAATTACAGTAATCTCCCTATCAGCAGATTTTTCGGTCAACCTTAATAGCCATGCATAAGTCACCCTGAATTTTGCGCCAGCTTTTCATGACCTTAGCGTTTCCATCTACTTGATTGTCAGGAGAGTGTATGCAGTGAAGAATGTAGTAAAACAACATTTTGTCCATATCTTTTAGCCAAAGCCTTCATAGTAATCGTGCTTCTCGAAAAACTAGACAGCTTTAAGGAAGAAATATTACATAGTAGTCTTTGCAATGTTCAAATAGTTTGAAAATTAGTATATTCCTTATTTGCCTTACAACAGGGATATTACAATATACTGACTGTTGATGAAAAATCATGACATTTGTTATTGTGCTTCTGTAATTATTTCACAGACGGTAGCGAGAACAAGGCGGTAGGTTCGCACAGTCTCTATCGCCAACATGCAACGGGTCTACATGCTAGCACGCACGCGCCCACATTTAGAGAACATACTTATACCACTACTCAATACATAGTGTTCTTTCGCTCGGCGTCTGGTTCATGCCTCCAGTTCTGCCAACCCGAGGGGCCACTGTTTGCTGATTGGTCTTCCTAGCTTCGCTGCACTAATTCTATTCTGACCCGGGTGGATTCATACTAATGATCTCAACTTGCTTAATGGGAGTTGTGTCGTTCTTCAAGAGATGTGACTGGAGGCTCTGACAAGGGCATTTTTCTCCGGAAATTCGGGCACTGTACCAATATGTTTTCTGTTCATCTCGGCCTAAGCATACTTTTCTTTTCGCTAAGGGACCATTTCTCGCTAGTGTCGTAGGGTACAAGCTGATTTGTGCATTTCCGTCCAAGATGCCTTCGTTAGATTTTTCCTTGTTTCGATTCCGCGGCTTGTCGCTTCCGCCTGTAAATCTTGCCTTCCGCGCCACTACGATACAATATGTTTAGTTAGGAGCAGAGGGTATGTTGGATATTTTGTCTTCAGAAATATGATCCAGGCAATCTTATTTGGCTGTACCTGTAAAGTTAGGAACGGAAGTGCATTAGGTTTTACGATACATTGTTGAGTGCTGCATATGGACGTAAACACAATGGACTTTTCAGAAATTAGATAGGTTTCTCCTCTAAGAATTTGTCATCCATGGAACGCGATGGAAAAAAGCTAAAACGGCAAAAGCACGATTCATAGATTATCGGTATTACCAGTGAGAGGAGTGCATAGTATAGCTTAGGTAAATTTGCTACAAAATAAGGGCATTTTAGTGAGAAGTATAGCGAGTTGTTTGCCTGTCCATTATTTACAAGTAAGCGCTTCATTTTTATCTTGCAAGCCACGAATTCGGCATTAACATAAATATAGATAGTAAAATTATTCAACGGATATTAATTGACACGGCAGCTGTTTAACTAAGAAAAGTAAGAAAGTGAGAAATGGTTTGACGAGTAAACCAGGAAAATTTTGGTTAGTATTTCTTAAACACTGAAACGAAAAGTATTGCGATAATATGGCTTGAAAACAAAGCCTTTAGAGCCATTATTTGAGCAAAGTAGAAATAAAGTGCTTCCTGCTGATTTCAGGTTTTGAATACAAAGCGGTTTTGGTAGGGTTTTATTGTGGCAAAATTTCGCCCTTGACACAAGAGCTTCTTCAGGCCAGGTGAATTGGTACAAAATTGGCTTAGCTTTTTATGGGAAGGTTGCAAGGCATAACACGAACCATTGGATAATAGTGTTACAGGTCAATAGGTCAAGTGGCCATGCTAGTGAAACAACAAGCAGCGAGCGTTTCTCATTGATTCACGTCACCGGTCGTTCACATGTGAGGCATTCCTTTCCGGCAGTTGCTGATTCACGCTCCGACCTGAGTTCGTCCGCCGACACCTTTTCTGACTGACCGGTTTAACGCAGCCCGCCACGTGTTCGATAACTCCACCCCGTCTGTTCTGTTCACACAGTTATTTGTCTTAGTAATCTCGGTCGCCTCAGCAAGCAACCTTTGGTTTGTTGCTGGTAATCCCCTCCTAAGTATCTCGACATTGTCACAATCAATCGCGTGTCCTGCCTCTAGCGCATGTACGGCCACCGCTGAATGTTTTAATAGAGCCCTGTATTCAGGCTCATTTCGCGGTGGACGCGAAACGTACCGCTTGTGTTCTGCTATCCTCGTGCGTAGCTCTGCCGCTCTTTGACCTATATACACGTGTTCACAGTCTTTGCAATTGATTTTATAAACACAATTTGTCGTCCTGTCTCTTAGAAGTGGATCTTTGAAACGCACAAGAGCTGAATAGAGCGTTTGACCCTTTCGAAAAACCACTCTTATTTTCGGTCTGTTTAGTACTCGTCTGATTGCTTCTGAGGTTTCCCTTTTATAGGGGATTCCCACCGTCCCAATCCACTCCGTTGTGCGTCGTGGAGGTGTATTTAGAGCTCTCGGTAATTGGCGTTTCACTAACCGCCTCGGATATCCACTGTCTACTAATTTGCTCACCGCCTCATTACGAGCAGCCTTCCTGTCCTCCTCCTCTGTACACAGAGTCTGGGCTCTGTGAAACAGGGAGGATGCGATAGCGGCATAGACTTGTTTTGGATAACCCGAACTGTAATGAAGCACTCCGTCCGTATTTGTCGGCTTGCGATGTATCGTCGCCTGTAGCCGTCCACCGTTCCTGTGGACTAGGTAATCGAGGAATGGCAGTGTGCCACTGCAAGATTCCAGTTCCATAGTCGAGTTTATGTTAATATTAATGGAGTTCAGATGATTTAGAAAAACATCCTTCATATCTCGCTTTATAATTACAAACGTACCATCCACGTAGCGTTACCAAATCTTTGCTGAACTAGTGGAGTTTGTCAGCGCTCTTCTCGTAAATTCTTCCAAATACAGATTTGCCAATACGGGGATGG